TTTCTTCTTCCTGGTCATCACTCTCCGCAATGCATGCCATCACCCGGGCATCCACTATGCGGTCTATGGAGACAATCGAGGAGTCGTGGAAGGATGGTGGAAAGGTCGCAGCAGGAACTGGCCAACAAACAGTATCTTCCGTATGGTACACACATTCTCGCAAGAAAATAGCCTCACTGCCCACACTAGATATGTTCCCAGTAAGGAGAACCCAGCTGACGGCCCTTCTCGTGGAGAATATGGCACGACGCAAGACCTCCTCCCTGCCATCAACATCCCCAATCACCTCCAGCACTATGTCGTCGATTTCGACACACCTCATATGCCAACGGAACTCCGCCTTGCACGAGAAGGCAAAGCAGCCCTTGCCGCCCCCAGGATCAGCCCAGCCACACGACTCCTCCAACGCCAAAGCACCTCAGAGGGCCAGATCCTCCATGAAGAAGAAATCCTCGCCCACTTCCAAGCCAGCAACCAAGCAGCACCGCTTCTCTCCAGAGCACCGAAGCACAAATGGAGGGCCAGTGCGTGACCACACACGGGCTCGAGCTTCACGAAAACCTGCGCTGTACCCTCCTGACCTCACACCAGTACCATCCACACTCCGCCCACACGTCTTTGCTCGAGAACGGCTTACACGTTGGAGACCAACCACGGTCCGTACTGCCACTGACAACCAGGGCTGGCCCACCCATCTCTCCACTGAAGACCTGGCCCGCATTCTCGAGGTAATGGCCGGGGCGTGGGCGGATGGGACTCTGGAAGTCTATGGGACAGGCCTCCTCACCTGGCACGCCTTCTGCGACAAGAACGGAGTTAGTGAGGATCAGAGGGCCCCAGCCTCACCCCTCCTCATCGCCTCTCTCATAGCCACCCTCTCAGGTGCTTTCTCTGGTGGCACCATCGCCAACTACATCTATGGCATCCGGGCATGGCACATCCTGCATGGGGTCCCATGGAAGATGGTCGACCCTGAACTGGAGGCACTGCTCAAGGCCGCAGAAAAAGCAACCCCACCCACATCAAAGAGGAAGAAACGCCAGCCATACACAAAAGATTTCATGGTTGCTATTCGCGGTCAGCTAGACCTCTCAACGCCCCTCCATGCTGCCGTTTATGCCTGCTTGACAACCACATTCTGGTCAGCTGCCCGAGTTGGTGAGTTCACGGTCAAAAACCTGACAAGCTTCGACGCAAACAAACATGTCAAACCCTCAAACGTTACAACCACGACAGACCAGAACGGCTTCGAAACAACCGAGTTCTTCATCCCCTCCACAAAGTCTGAACCCACCAACGGAGAGACAGTCTCATGGTCGAGACAGAACGGAGACACAGACCCGGAGACTGCATTCCACAACCACATAGATGTCAACTCACCGTCAAATGGTGGCCACCTCTTTGCATACAAAGTAGGCTCAGGATACAAGCCACTGACAAAGCACAAGTTCATTCAAATTCTCACCACCGCAGCACGAGCAGCTGGCCTAGAGCCACTTCAAGGCCATGGGATCAGGATTGGGTCAACACTCGAGTACCTCCTGAGGGGGATTCCATTCGATGTGATGAAAGCAAAGGGAAGGTGGGCAAGTGACGCCTTCCTCGTCTACCTCAGGAAGCATGCCCAAATCCTCGCACCATACATGCAAGCAGACCCAGTCCGCCAGGAAGAATTTATCAGGCTAACCATGCCTCCACTACGCCGCCACTAATCAGGTAAGCAACCCCTGTCATGCTCCTAGCAGAGTGGGCTCGAGACTCGCTCGATGCGTCGCAGGACTCCTAACAATTGGGAATCGCGCTCATCTTGGCTTCTTTCACAGACCAGGAGCTCCTGCCGGGCACGAAAGCCTTCGGGCTTTCCGCCCATATATTACATCCAGCACACTGCCATTCCATACACCTATCCCTCTTACCCTAGTCTACCATCGTTAATCTAATGCTGTCACTCGCCAGACCTGCCTCAGCGCCATTCATAGAGGACGCGTTCGGGACAGGTATAGGCTCGTCTTCATCCTTCTTGTCGTCGTTGTTTTTTGAACCAGGAGGTGCGGGTGCCAGGTCGTGGGACTTGCGTATGCTACGCAGCCTTTTCATTCCGAACATCCAGAGAGGATGTTCAGCCTTTATATGGTCGTATATTTTTTGCAATCCAATCTCTGGTCCCTGGCATGATTTAGTCTCCTGATGGCGGACTCCGATATCCGTTGATGATGAGTCGATCAACTTTTCATATGGAGTCTGCTACTAAACGCGCCCTCGATACCGGCGCAAAACTTTTCCACGCTATTTATTCCCACGGTTCATAACTTTTGGCAGATGGGAAAGCGCGACTGATCACGTGTTCGATAATGAGAACGCGCTCGGAAATGTATGAGGATGCAATGAGACGTGTCAGTCCGATAATCCTTGACCAAATGTCTGACCACATAGCTGGATTAGCAGTTTATGCATCTCTACTCGTAGCAAAGATTAAAAAAGGCATATTAAACCCGCTGGAATGTGCTGTGACGCAGCAAGGTACTGTCCACAACCTTTGCTTGGACAGAATTTCAGTGAATCATGGACAAAATTATACAGAAGGGTTATTTAGACAGCCAATAGTTGCTTCATGCGCCGCATAAGATAAAGGACGCAAAGTTGGAGCACGATGGGCATACTTTTGACCTCGGTGATCTCGGCGTGGCCAACACTCCGCTTCTGAAAAGTTCTGGGGTAGACTAAACACCAGGATTAAATTTTGTGACCATAAATTATGCGCAAGGGAATAGAAAAATGCTCCGTGAAATATCTCCTATCTAAAACAGCAAGCAGTAGGGGGCTTCCAACCTCCAACACTGGAGGCCCTTTGTCAGCTGCAAAGAACGAGGTCTTTCGAAGAGAAATTTTCACTAAAATGTGTGTTATGCTCTATTTAATTAGGAACTCAAAGCTTATTTGAACCTCCTGGTGGATTCGACGCGCTCAGTCGCGTCAAACACCCTATCCGTAGAGCCAGACAGGGGCGTGGGTACATACACGTGACCCAGAGAAACTGCGCCGGGTTGAATGGCGCGATTAAACCAAGACTAGGCATGATTGAATACTCAAAATTTCCTCCAGCAGTCTATCATCGGAAGGAACGATCGGTTCCATATCGAATGGTGGATTCGGATGACTCGAAAATATAACAGTGAAGCCTCGTGAAGTCCTTGCTTGAGAGTAGATCGGGCACTCTCTTGGGCACGTCGACGATCGATAAGGTTGTGCATGAGAGTCTGCCGCAATTTGGCCGGGACAACTAGCTAGCCCGGTATATATATAGCACGGTCCCAGAGATTAGATAACGGTGCCTTCCATGAAGCCATGAAGCTTGACGGCATTCGAGTCATTTTACTTTCACGTCGTGACGATAGATACAATGCAGGCAGAAAATGACAACCTATGGCGTCAAACACCTCTACTCTATTCGACGCGTCTTTCTGAGATAACGGGGGCCTCAGTCTACCTCAAACTTGAGGTAATTAGACCTCGGAATTCATTTTGTCTGCCGGGATTGACAATATATTTTCTTAGAATTTGCATCCCTCATTCTCATTCAAGTATAGAGGAATATCGTTCTTCATCAAGAAGATGAAGGAACAACATGGATCTTCTGTCCATCTAGCAATTGCGTCTGGAGGGAATGCCGGGCTGGCGGCGGCATGTGCAGCACGGTCCTATGGACTTCGATGCACAGTGTTTATCCCAGAAGGTGTAGCGGAAAGCACATTGGCGTTGCTGAGGAGAGAGAAGGCAGAAGTAATAGTCGTTGGAAAGTTTTATGCAGAAGCTTTGAAGGCTGCCCGAGAACTGGCTGCGACGGAATCTGAGTGGTAAGTCGAGGAGCGTGGGTTGTCGCAAAACTGACTAAAAATCAGCGTCATGGTACCAGCTTACGACGACCCAACCTTGTGGGAGGGTCATAGTTCAATGGTTCAGGAGATCAAGGTTCAACTGGACCGAGAGCCAGACGCCATTTTCTGCAGCGTGGGGGGTGGAGGCTTGCTTGGGGGCGTTATCGTCGGCTGCAAGACGGCCGGATGGGATAAGGGTACGCCTTTGCTAGGCTTGGAGGCCATGGCTGACCTTTGCCGAAGTTCAAGTTGTCGCCCTCGAGACCATGGGATCGGATTGTTTCTTTTGGTCCTTGTCTCTTAACGGCGACAGGTTCAATAGTGTGCAGAAAACATTACCCTCTGGCGTGAATCTCGTCCGCAATGAGGAGCATGACTTGAATTTGGCGCATTTCACGACATTTTCATCCAAGGCATCCGGATCCCTGGGTGCTTCGGAACCGGCAGCTCGGGTCGTGCAAATGGCCCTCGAACGACCAGGAGGTGTGACAACCGCGACGGTGCCAGACGAATTGAGCATGGATGCCCTTGTCTCGTTTGCAAGTGAGTACGCTGTCTCGAGCTGTCCACTGATGCTGACTGTGCTGGCTCAGACGACCACAAGTTCCTTGTCGAGCTGGCTTGTTCGACGACGCTAGTTCCTGCCTACAATCCTACTCTTTTCAAGAAACTCGTTACCCCGAAATCGACGAACGGAGGAGAAGAGCGGCCTACGGTGATTTTCATCGTTTGCGGAGGGTTTAAAATAGATCTGCGGATTATAGAAGAGTGCCAAATAGAGCAGCCAAGGGAGGCGGGAGCGACGTGGTCTGTGAGATGTGACGACGGTCAACTTTTTACTTTTCCGAGGAGCGGGGAATAGATATAGAGATGATATACATGTATGAAGGAGTATTTCTCTTCTTCTGGTGTTAGAAAATGATACACAGCTAACTCTGGAACATGAATATGAAAATAAATAACCGACCTCATGTTGCAGCGAGAATAACACTTACCTTGACCCCCTGCGGTAAAACCAGGGTAAAACTTCTTCATTTCGGTTCCTTTGCCTCTTCCTCTTCCCTCTGCGCCCGTTTCAGAAGCCTCTCTGCTTTTATACGTGCGAGTTCCTCTCGTATGCCACTTTGGTCGGTTGGAATTCGCTGAAAATGAAGGACCATGAGTTGCTAAAGGCGCGGACATTGCCAAATCTGACTACCTGGACAGTGCGATTAAGAGCAGGGAAAAGTTTGTCCCGATACTATTGAAGATGGGGCAAGTCGTTAAACTGTCTCTATAATTCTGCTTTGGAGGACATACCGGAACCACTGTCGTTCTGTACCACTCTGGGTCACCAAAGTGGATCAATGCAGCTATCGGGACGAAGAGATATAGGGAAAACTTGAAAATTTCGAGGTTTGGTCCTCCCATTATGGTTTACACCAAGGAGTTGAGTGCAAGGCTACTAAGTAGGGTCAGACCGTGACCGGCTGATCTTATTCGGGACCTTTCGCGAGCTGCCGACCAGGCCGGCGTGCCCCTTTCGAGTTCTATTGAGGTCACGGTTATGTATTTGAACGCTGGTTAACGCCAGTCTTTTGGAGTTCCTTCTCGGGAGGCCCTTCTGTGCCAATATACCTCTTCTCACCTATGTATAACTGCTCTTCTTGGTGCCCATAGTCCATCACTCAAGCGGCGAGTCAAGCTAGCAATGTGCTTGACTGCGACACACCCGACATCGCTCGACATCCCGATCGCAGTGAATATGGACCAGTAGGGTTCTGAATTACACGGCCAACTCTTCGACCTCGGAACTCGACCTCCTCGTTGACATGCTTTGTGGGTGGTGTCCATAAAAATAGGTCAATAATGACATCACTATTTCAAACAAGGCCGTCATGTCTCTGTGTTGCGAGAAGCGACACACACGGCCAGTATTAAAGGCCTGCGGTTTCAGCCTCTCTCTTCCCTAACTCATTTTCTCCCACAAAATGGCTCTCTCCAAGGTCTGTCCGTTTCCCGAGCTTGTCTTGTTGGCCTCGAAGCTCTGACTCTCTTCAGCATGTTAACCCAGACCGTATCATCCAAGCCTCTCATGTCAGGGTCATTCCTCTCTTATAAACGACTTCGTTGACACAGGCCGGCCCACAGGATAAGCATCCCAGCCACAAAAGTACTACGAAGACGCTCTCTGACGGGATCAGCTACTCATATGGAGAGCGCTATGCAACCAGCCCCATTCCGAAATACAGTATGGCTTCGAAGGCAGGTCCTACAACCACAGATACCTGATGTGTTCTCAATATCTCCGTCTCTTCAGGGTGTAGGCGCAGATGCAGCATATAGGCTGATTCATGACGAGTTGTCCCTTGGTAAACTAGGCGCTATTAATCCCTCCTTCCATCTCACAACCATTCCAGATGGCTCTCCCGTTCTGAACCTGGCATCATTTGTACATACCTGGATGCCACCTCAAGCAGATTCGCTCGTCCGGGAGAACATCTCAAAGAACTTGATAGGTATGAAACTCGCTGCCGGCCAGATTCTTGTCTGACCATTGCCATCACCCACGCAGATAGCGACGAATACCCTGCGACGCGTAAGTACATGAGTTTATTGGCTGTATTATTGACCAATTCCATTTGACATATTTGATAGAAATTATTCATACGCGCTGTAAGACGTCAATGACTTTGCATTCTCCCCGAAAAGTTATGAACATTTGGCTTAAAGGTGTCTCTATTCTGGCCGACTTGTGGCACGCACCATCTGCTAAGGAGGCTATTGGGACTGCAACGACCGGCTCTTCGGAGGCAGCTCAACTCGGTGGGTTGGCCATGAAGAAAATGTGGCAAGAAAAACGCAAGGCAGCTGGAAAGAGCATCCATGAACCTGGGTAGCTTTTCTCTTCTTTATATTACCGTGTATGTGCTGACAGCACTTCAGACCCAATATTGTCATGGGCGCTAACGCTCAAGTTGCTTTGGAAAAATTCGCCCGATACTTCGATGTCGAGTGCAGACTCGTCCCGGTCTCGGTGGAGAGCAAGTATCGACTCGACCCCAAAAAGGCCATGGAATACGTCGATGAAAACACAATTGGTGTTTTCGTAATCCTTGGAAGTACGCATCATTTCGTTATATCTCTTGTCTTAGAAGATGCTCATGCGATCCACAGGCACTTACACAGGACATTATGAACCCGTCAAGGAGATGTCAGATCTCCTTGACGAATACGAAGCAAAGACGGGTCATTTCATACCTATTCATGGTGAATTTCAAGAGACTACTTGTCGGGTCGTCCTGACTCCCGCCCTCAGTTGATGCAGCGTCTGGTGGTTTTGTTGCTCCGTTCGTCACCCCGAAGCTACAGTGGGACTTCAAGCTTCCTCGTGTAGTTTCCATCAATACATCGTGAGCTCAAATCAAGTCCTTGACGGCTCTTCTCTTACACAACTGTTTCAGAGGACACAAATTCGGTCTTAGCTACGTCGGCGTCGGCTGGGTGGTGTGGAGGGACAAGCAACACCTTCCCAAAGACCTCATCTTCGAGCTGCATTATCTCGGCTCCGTGGAGTATTCGTTCTCCTTGAACTTTTCGCGTCCGGCTGCACCGATCATCGCACAATATTTCAATTTCATTCATCTCGGCTTCGAAGGGTATCGCTCAGTCGGTCTCGCCGACATGAAGAACGCTCGCCTTCTAAGTCGGGCTTTGGAGAAGACTGGCTACTATACCGTCCTTAGTGACATACACCGTGGTGTCGGAGGACGCGAGGAGCTTGGTATCGACTCCACGGATTTTGAGGCTAGTTCTCTATCCTATTACGCGCGAGTTTTTCTTCCTCATCTTTCTGTTGTGCACCAGGACTACGAACCAGGACTGCCAGTTGTGTCGTTCAGATTAAGTGACAACTTCCAGAAGAAATATCCTGAGATCCAACAAAAGTGGATTCAGACTCTTTTGCGAGCTAAGGGCTGGTACGTTTCAGCTGTCTGCGAAGTTGATCCGACGTCTTCATTGTGTTCAGGATCGTTCCCAATTATGAACTCGCCCCAGACTTGCAGCAAGTGGAGATACTTCGCGTTGTCGTTCGCGAGAACGTGACGGAAATCGTACGTATATTCCACACACTTTTTGCAAGTCCTTTTCACTTACACTGTCATCACACAACTTGCATAGCTGATCGACAAACTCATTGCCGACATCGTAAGTCCTTATGATTCCATCTAGTCGGGTTTTCGCTTATAGCTTTTCAGATCGAAGTAACTGAACAACTCAAAAAAGCGGATTCCTCTGCACATGCCCTGGATACCTTGGGACATGTTCAACGGCCTCAGAAACACGAATCAGAAGCAAGCAACCTCAAGGCGGGTGAAGGAAGTCAAGCTAGTGGGACCTACGCTAGACCTTGTTGATCATGTATCACCCAAAACTTCTTTTGATTAGCATTTGTATCTTTCAACGGACTCGAACGATGTGCATCTGATCCAAATTTGAAATGAAAATGAAAGCTTCAGGGGATAGAAATAGGGGCCAGCTTCCATAAGTGGCCCATACACGACAACAATGCCAAACTCACGCGTCGCGGTACTGCTGCAGAACCTAGACATCGATCACCACCCGCGTCGAAGAGCATATCCGATCTCGGTGTTCACTCCGCAATGTCAACCTACGCTTCCATGTGAGTTGAAACCTCTTCCCCATCGCGACAGCTTGCCCACTCTTCTGCCTCTCATAGGGGCCTGCCACCTTCCCTGGCACGGACTTCAACGGTCGTAGTCCCTTGCAGCGAACAAACGCCTTCCTTTATCATCGAGTCATCGAACAAATCATACAAGCACCAATACTCGAACATATACTACGTCAGGCTTAGCCTTCTACGGAACGTAGTGGAGAACAATGCTCATAAGAAATGGAGGAACATATCAGGTCCGCCCTATAGAAAACTTCTTTCGGTCGAATCACTGACAAGATCTTGCAGGCAATCCTGTTCTTGTTCCGCGCGTACTCGAAGTGGAAAAGGGTCAGCTTTGCTACGTAGTGGGGACGGTATACATGGATATGCCGCTGAAACCCAACGTCATGGAGGACATTGCACGAGATGTGGGCACGGTCCATTCCTGTGTTCGGAGAGTGCTGACAGAACAATCGCTCTAGCAATCGATACCTCCTCCTCCTCCTCAAACTAAGATGTTCTCCGAAGACGATAATGTTATGCTGGAAGATGAATCCGGACGAATCAGACTGGTCGGAGAACGTATTAAGGAAGCACGGCTGGTCACTGGGGTTATTATGAGCGCTCTAGGCATGGAGACGCCCAACGGAGACTTCGAGGTCGTCGACTATTGCTTTGCTGGCCTGGCACCTCAAGCTTCGGACACGGAAAGTAACGAGGAGGATAAGATGGATGTTGACGGTATGGTTCAATCCTGTCTCCCATTCTGCCAAATTTGACTCTCTTCAGCCGAGCAGGGCTCTTCATCATCACAATTACCAGATGAATGGATCGGTGCTGTTTCTGGTCTGGACATAGGCTCGCTTTCACCCTCAGATGCACAGATACAGATGCTGGTGGAGTATCTTACAGGCGAAGAGGGGAACATCGACGACCAGGTGGCTGCTTCCCAGATATCCCGACTGATAATTGCTGGTAATTCTCTGGCAGCGATCGAGCCCCAAGTAGTCGAAGCAGTTTTGACGGCTGAAGACCGGAAAGCGGTACGTGCTTCCTACAACCTTCTCTTGCCAACTAATTTCGAATCTTGCATCAAAGCGACGAGCTGGTCTCGAAACAACGTCGTTCTCACCCCATCCAATTTTGAACTTGTCTTCGACTCTGTATGATATCGCCAGCGTCATGCCGATACACCTCCTACCCGGCGACTCTGATCCTTCTGGTATCATTATGCCTCAGCAACCTTTCCCTCGAGCTATGTTCGGTGACGCAGCACGATATCCAACGTTCGCCTGTGAAACTAATCCCACTTACCTGTCTATCGCCTCAGATCCTGAATCTTCGTCTTCTAACTCCCCTCGACCCCCTGCGAAAAGAACTCTGCTCATTAATTCTGGCCAACCTCTGAATGATATGTTCAAGTATCTTCCTACCCCACCCAACACACGCTTGTCCATCGTGGAGTCCAGTCTTCGATGGCGGCATATGTCACCAACTGCGCCGGACACACTGTGGTGTCATCCTTACAGAGAGGAAGATCCATTCCTGATACCAGAAACACCACACATATACATCGTGGGTGGGCAGAAGAAATTTGCTACAAGGTTAGTCACCGAGCGACCAGAGCAAAAAGGTGCACCCACGACGCGGTGTCGCATTGTTCTTGTCCCTAGCTTTGCGCATACAGGAATTCTGGTCCTTATTAATCTACGGACACTGGCCGTAAAGATCGTCAATTTTGGTGTTCACGGAATGACCACTGGAGGAGCTGTTGAAGACGTGAAAAGTAAATATCTTATTTCTTGCCACAGCTACTAAGCTGATTGGTTTCATTGCAGAAGAACCCCTCAAAGAACCGAGCCCAATGCCAGCAGAACCATTACCCTCAGGGCCAGCGTCATCATTAGACCCTGGTTTTATCTAAAATGCAGGTCTTTGAATGCTCAACTTATTGTACTATAGTAATGCTTCATCCACGGAGAAAGACAAAGTCCATAGTAAGGCTGTATGGAATCGTTTAAGTGCTCTAGTCGCATTTACGATATACAATCTCCCTGTGTAATCGATCGTTATACTATACATCCCACTGCATCGCTGAAGGAACCCAATACGCACGCCCGGATTTCTCGTCCTGCGCATCCAACCAGCACATCCCATCTCTGAGGAGCATGTTTTCCAACGCAGCTCGAGCACGATCACGAGTCCATCTTTTTCGTTGGATGAGATGATCTTCGATCACCCGCCCTCCTTGCTCTCGGGCGATGGAAAGTATGACGGTCTGATCTTCGTCTAGTGCTTTTACCACACTGCGAACCATCTGACATCCGTCGATCTCCACGACTTCATATCCTGCTCCGAGGGGTTGCAAGGTCTTGATGCTGCGCACGACATCGTCTTCTGTGATCCCCCCTTCACCCACTCCACGCAGCTTGCTGACAAGCCTAACCAGCTCTGACATCTCGATGAGCCCGCCATTCCTTTCCCTTGTACTGACGCATACATCCACGATCTGCACCCCAAGTTCGTACTGCCAATCGCCTAAACCAAGAAGCTCGGCCCACCAACCGCCCTTTCTGGGTCCAGCGAGAGGGTCGACGCCGATAGAAGAGCACATTTGTTGGAACGCATGACGGAAGGATGGATCGCTCCTGATCGATTCTCTGTGTGTAGACGCAAAACGGACCAAAGCTGTGCGAAACTGGTTCAACTGAGAATGGAGATTCTCGACCTGAGCACGAGAAAGCTCCGAGGAGAGTTCTGCGAAAGATCGTTTGGACTGCTCCTGCCGGTCAAACGCTGCCAAACCTACGCCTCTTCGCATATTGCTGGAAGAGGAGGCCGTAGAACATAGAGATATGTTTCGTCAAGGATATCCAAAGGGACCACCAGCCAGGACTGGAGGGCGGTAAGGAGGGTCAACAACAGGCGATGGTTGGGATCTGGAATCTGGTTGGGATTAGAAGTCGTCGATGATGATTGGCTGGGCGAGTAAGGTGCGCCACGTGCTAAGTAGTGCATATCCCCTTATATCTAGAGTAGTTAAAAAACGCACTCTATTTTTAGACCTCCTTCTAAATACCTCGACATCTGAGCAAGTGTCGCCAAAACAACCGTCTCGCTAAGTACCTCGAGAAGAATTATCTCTAGTATAACTGTATTTGGACATACTATTTCCTCTTCGTCCAAGCGAATTATTACGACGGTCAAGAGGCATCCTCAAGGCTATATATGAATGTCTTCAACTTTCAGCTCGAGGCGGTGCATAGAGGAATGCGAAAAAACATCAGAGCCTTCAGCTCCGTAATCTAATTTGAGCTCCTGTCTGGCATCTCGTCGTTGTTACTTGTGACAGACTATCCTCAAGATCATTCAGGACAAATTCTCTCAGGACAACGACATCTTGAGTTCCCATGAGGTAAGACCTGGTAAGACAGGAAAAAGGCATCGCCTCACATTTCAATAAGCCCTGTGGACATGGGAGGCAAATGCCATTTGAATGTCTTCATGGTGATCTCGGGGAGGGGTCTATACAGTTCACGGTCACCTTTGGACCGGATGACTCCTCCAGGGCTATGTTGAGGAGGGAAGCGCCGGGTTCTGTTGAACAACATATGCCTCATGAATTGCTAGGATGGATCTGGAGGTCGATGACGACATATTCCTCTTGAACAGTTCTCCATCTTCACCTCCGCAGAAACGCTTGCTGACTATTTTAATCCCTTTTCATAAGTCAGATAACAGACGCTTCAGTGTTATGAATCCCTTCAAACAACACGAGTGCCAGTTCAGATTTCCACGCCTGACAATGGCTCTCCGGTTTTCTACAGGCCCGGTCGCACCAATAGCAATCCTGCAGCAAATGAGGTATTATTCCCGCCTGGCACCCGTTTCTCTGACAAGTAAGCCATAGGATATCATAGTTTTGCTTGGAAGACCAACCCAAGATTCAGCATGAGATGTGAACCCGCTTTGGCTTGCTTCCTTCGTACCATTCCACGCTGCAAGAAGACCGAAAACGGCAAGCAAGAATCCACGTTATGTATAGAAATGTTCCTATTTTAGACCCCTACCCCTGACATCGATCTATCTTTTCTCGAATCAGGTACGAAGGCGTAGCAGCGCGACGGCACACTGGCACACCGGCAAACAGTGAGAACGAGGAACTCCGATGGGAAGATCTAGGAGAACACGAATGCTGAAATTTACCTACGCAGCCTAGCTTGATATCCTCCGCAGCAACCTGAGCGGAGGGTATAACAGTGCAATAAGAGTTCAAATATCACTGGACCTCACCGTTGCGGCTTCTCATTCTAACGCGTCCTCGAATTAACCATGCTTGCGACTTCCTCTTTTCTCTTCCTTCTCCCAGCTCTTGCTGCTGCCCAGTATGGCGGCTATGGTGCACCGGTGGGACCAACGACAACTACTGCGGCTGCAGTTACTGTCCCTTCAGCCCCACCCGACACGCCAGGACAGATGAATGTGAGCATCTCTGGCATTCCGAGTACTGTGTACTGACGGCACGAAAAATCAAGATCGATGTCGCATTCCAAGACCAC